CTCACTTCTTCGGATGCATAGATGCATAGATGCATCCGAAGAAGTGAGGTTTTTACTCACGAAAGCTTATGCCCAAATAAATCTGTTAGTCTTTAAGGTGCCACCAGACTCTTTGTTGTTTTTGTAGTGCAGAGAGAAAGCTGGGGCCTGCCAGGTTGTTGTGGGCAAGTAGTTAAAGCGATGTGCAAAAAATCCAGTTGGGCCATTGCCCCCCATCCTCACCCCCAAGCAGCTTTGACTCTTCATGACTATGATGCTGAGATTCCACTGCCTCAGCATCCTCGACCCCCACTGGAGGCCGGTTCCTTAGACCCCTGTTCATATTTCAGACCCCAGCCGGTGCAGCATCCCTGCCCAGCAACTCACCCTCTGCCCCAGGAGAGCCAGCTGGTGGGCTGCATTCACAGGCAGACAGCTTATACCGCTCCCCTCAGAGCAGCAGCCACAGCTGTTGGCAGCTAATCCCCACCTGAGGCTTGGGGGAAGGAGCTGGGGATCACTTGTTATTTCTTCCATACATCGAGTCTCACTGTGTTTGAACGCATTTCTCTCTAAAACTGATATAAATTCAGAGCCCCTCCCCTGCATTTCTGCTTTATGCCTCATTCCTGTACCGATGTGAACACAAAGAAACCTTTGGGGACCACTTGCAGCTACTTCCCTGAAGATATTTTAATTTAATAATTGCTGACTCCTTCCCCCATTAAGAACAGTGGATTTTATGCCCAGGAGCTTGGCTAAAGGCAAAATAAGGGGTTAAGGTTTATTACCCACATGCACAGTTATGGAATTCGCTATATTATCCCGGCACAGAGACCGAACTACTGCACAAAAGTTCCTTTCATCTAGTTTTCCTTCCAGTGCCCTGCTCTGCTACGTTATTGTTTGTTCATTCAAGCCACATGCAGAGGTGGGTGTTACCCTGACACACAGAGAACTTAAAGGTGTCCAAACACATGCAGTGTTTTAGAAATATACTAAAGCCCAGGCTTTTCCTTCCTGCTGTTCAATCGGATTGCAGTGTGCGACTAAACCAGGGACATTGTCATCCTGGTGCTAGAGTAAGATTCCAACCTGCCGTGAATAAAGTGCTGGGAGGCAGACCCTGGGGAAAGTGTCAGGGACACACTCCCTCTGTTGCTGGTTATAAAATAACACCAGCCCCAGCTCAAAGGGCAGGAACTCAATGGCTGAATTTCAAGCAGGGGCCCTTCCAGTGCATTGCTTGGCTGGAAGAAGATTCACAAAACACATCCTGGTGTGACTCAACAACCATCACTGTGATCCTCCACCAAACAAACAAACAACAATAAAAAAACCCACCTTTCCCCCAAATCCCCCAGAACTCTGCCAGAGCTGGCGGATTTGACCCAAGAGAACAGAAGTAGGAACCAAGGCAAGACAAGGTACCAGGGCCAGATGGGGGAAAGGGACAGGAAGAGGCTGCAGATGAACAAGAGAGAGTATCCACGAGGTCTAACGCTGTAGCTCAGACAGCCAGAAACAGGTTTTTCTGCTACTGGCTCCCTACAGAGAAAATGCGTTTCCCTGGAAAAGCACCCCAGCCTGGAATGGATAAATTGGCCACACAGTGGCACCATCCCTTCAGGACTAGAGCTACAGGTACAGCCCTGCACAGGGGCTGAGGGCATGTCTACATTGCAATTGAAAACCACATTGCTGGCCTGTGCCAGCTGACTCGGGCTCACAGGGCTCAGGCTATTTAATTGCAGTGTAAATGCTCAAGCTCCAGCTGCAAACAGAGCTCTGGGTCCCTCCCATCTAGCAGAACCCAGCTGGGATGGAATTCAGGATGGGAGCAGGTTCCCCTGAGCTCACAGGCTCTTTCTGCTCTCCCTCCTGCATTCTCAGTAACAGTCTCATCTGAAATACAAGCCACCATCCTGGGAGGGAAAGGAAAGAACAGAAAGTAGAGAAAGAGAGAATTCCTCCTCTGCAAGCTGTCTGCCTTCCACCACCCTCCTTAACTCTCATCCCATCCCACAGTGCTCCCTCTACTCTGCAGCCATGGAGAGGAAACCAGGGTTTGGTGTGGTACCAAGCACCAGCAAGGAGAGCAGGGAGTGTGTCTCTCCAGGATCCCAATTCTGGCAACAAACAGGGTGGAATAGATGGAGTAACCAGCCTGCTCCCAATGCAAAGGGTGAGGAGCAGGGAGGAGACAGAGCCAGGAGCCACTGAGGGTGGAAGGAAGTTAGGAGCATGTGTGGGAGTGGGGGGGATGATGGGAATTATTGGAGATGCATAGGGATACTGCCGTGGTTGGATAGTGCATTTTCTACATTCCCCAGCTGATAGCAAATAGCTGTGAAATTCCCTGGAAGTGTGTGTGTGTCTCATTCCCCCATCCCCAAACCAATGGCCAGTCTACATACAGGATAACAACCTACTACGGCTGCTACTCTATTGACATGGCAGACATCTGTATGGTGGATCTAAAGGCCCCGCTTTGCTGATCACACACTGACTGGTCACTACAACTGATCAGAATGGAACTTTTATTTGTTGAATTTTCCTTTCTTAAAATCTAGAGTAAATGCCATATAAAAATGTCCATCCCCTTTCTAGATTTAATTTGCTGAGTCTGAGAAGGCGGCCTTTGTCTCACGAGAAGAATCAGCAGTGCAATTGGTCAGTGCTGGATGTGCAATGAGCTTCTGACTCATCCTCTCTTCCACAATAATCTTTCTGCCCTTCTCTTTCCTCATCCAGCCAGCCCCAGACTAGATTATCTCAGAGACAAACAAGGGCTGTTTGTCCTGTGACAAACCTACAGCTCTTAGTGGTTCTAAGAAACCTATCAAGAAGAGGAAAATCAGCAGGGTTCAAGGTGACATGTCTCTCAAAGGTCTGTGTGACCTGTGCTTGGTTGTTTCCAAGCCCATATTTAACTAGCCCCACTGCATTGTGAACCTGGGCTTACATGTGATTGACCCAGGTGTCACAGTTATGTGACATGTCACTCACCGGCGCCGATCCCTCAATTCGAGGATGATCTCCAGCATGGATTTACATGTGGATCCTGAGATGACTCAGGAGTCCAAGCCTGGGACCACAAATCTGCCTGCAGTAGGTACAGAGATTTCCTGGCAGGTCAGCTGCCTGCTGGGAGAAAGTTCTTCTTTTTCCTTCCTTTTCTCTCTCTCTTTTCCGCTTGGAGGGGAAGATGCTTCTCCTCAAAGCAGGCACTGCCTGATGGAGGATGTGGCACCATTGAGGTCAGTTGGTTGCTTGCTCCTCCCAGCTTGCAATTAGGTGACCAGATAGCAAGTGTGACAAATCAGGACAGTGGGTGGGTGGTAATAGGTGCCTATATAAGACAAAGCCCAAATATCAGGTCTGTCCCCATAAAATCGGGACATCTGATCACCCTCCTATTTGGGATGTCTACATCAGTTTTCTTGAGACATGCCTTCAGGGCATAGTAGAAGCCTGCAAGTGTTTTCTTTAAACGTGGGGCAGCTGGTGCTCCAGCAGCAACCACACGATCATGACAAGCAGGAGGTCTGGGGCTCAGCGGCAGGGAAAGTCTGAGATGACTGGAGATCCCAACTCGCTGCAGCCTTCACCTGCTTTCACAGCCATTGGGATCCAATGATCCTCTTCTGCCTGATCCACCATCGAGGACTGAGGGGGGTGGGAGGGTTGTGTTACATGCCCACACTGCACTACGCAGCCATTCTGACTTGGATCTGCCACTTGATCTGCGTCCCCACTGTCCAATGACGGACTGGGCTCAGGATCTGACCATCCTCCCTAGCTGTGTCCTAGGACCTGGGTCCTGAGTGCCTGCTGACCAAAGTCAGACTGATTTGTGTCTGCACAGACTTGAGGCTTGGGCGCAAACCTGAGTTGGATCCCACGCTTAGTGTGTAGTGTAGATCCACTCATGCCAGGCTCAGACCAGGCCCCTGCAGCCAGACCCCTGCAGAGAGGGTTTCATTGCCTAGTTATCTGGTTACCTGGGAAACCAACAGTCTCTTTGTGATGTCAAACTGACTGGGGAGGTTTTGCAGCCCAGCTGAACTGCCAAGGGAGAGAGGGAGCAGGAAGAGCTGGGGGCTGCCAGGATCTACTAGGGTTTTTGAAATTTAAGTGACACCTTGACAACGTGTTAACCATAGATCTGGGCACTAAACCCTCCTCCCTGGGAAGGGAATCTGTGCAAATGGAGAGTGGAAGAATGAATGGGGTGCGAATAGACACACACATGGGCAGGGCACAGGGTGAGGGAATGAGGTCTCATGTGTATGTGAGGCAGGTTGAATGGGAAATGAAATGGCCCTTACTCATCAAAGCCTACACACGTTGAGCTACTGAAGGCAGCAAAACTAGAGTTTATTACTAGAAGAAATTCAGACCAAGGGGGAGGAGTTAATAAAGCAAAGAGCTAGAAGGAAAACAACGTTCACTCTCTGGGGCCTGGAAAGGGGAAGAAATCTGCTATCTTCTTCCTGTGAATTCAATTGACTTTTCTTCCTCTTCACCTTTACAACAAAGACACCCAAGATGGAGGTGTGAAACCTTTCCCTTAGAGAATGGCATTCAGTCACTTTCTTTTGCTTCTTCCCACCATTAGCCGTGCAGGTAGGAGAGATGTATTTGTTTTAAAGGAGTCTTTTCTAATGGGCATTTTCATTGTTTTCTTTCCATCTATCTAGCCCTGGAGTTGGTCTTCATAGCTGGTTAATAGCTAGTTGGCAGCCAGGACCTCCCTTGCTTCTATTAATTAAAAGGCAAAAAACTTGGTTAATGCCTACTGAAGTTTGACTGGTGAGATGTTATTCCTTTCAGAACCTCAATGTCAGCAAAATTCAAACTTTTGAAAACCAGGAAATGAACAGCTATTGCTTATTGAAAGAAATAGCTCCGGATTCCCTTTATACATTTTATTAAAATGAAAAAAACAAAATCAAGTACACACATCACTAAGACTAAACTATTGTATACATGACTAAACTAACTATGGGGGTGAATGCACTGTTAGCATGTTAAGGTCAAAATCAGTAAATCAATGCATTAACAATGCTATTGCATAGGAATCATGTTATCACCATATCAAATGATCAAATTAATACAACGGATCATCAACCCTTATAAATCCTAAAACAGGAAGCCAAGGAGGCGGCTGTCCAGTTAGTTGAAAACCT